GCGGGCGCCGGCGCTGCGTGGAAACGAGGCCCGCCGCGGACCCACGCGCATGAACACTCGAACGAATCCGTGTCTGCGCAGCCTCGGCCTGCGCGGCCGAAGCAGCTCTTCCAGCCTCCGGCAGAGCACGAGCCGCACCCGCAGCAGGGGAGCGGCCGGACGGAGGCCTCTGGGGACTTCCAAGGACCTCTGGAGTCAGGATCCGGGGCGGGGGCAATTCCCTGTCCCAACATCTCGTTTTGTCTCCCTTCTACTCCCTGCCTGTCCCCCCCAGCCCGTTCACCGCCTGGTTCCTCCTCCACATTCGAGGGCGCGCAAACATGGATTGGCGTTCCATGGATTCGGCGCGCGGTCGCCAAATCCATGGATCGGGGGAGGTGCCCTCCCCAAGATGCGGCTGGTGCCGCCTCGCTCGGCGGCGGAAATCAGCAATGTCCCATGGAAACGGGACCCGCTGCTAATCCACGCCCACTTCATCCATGTTTGCGATCGCCTGACACATGCTCCAGTGAGGAGGAGGGGGAGGAGGAGGAGGAGGAGGAGGAGGAGGAGGAGGAGGAGGAGGAGGAGGAGGAGGAGGAGGAGAAGGAGGAGGAGGAGGAGGGGGAGGAGGGGGAGGAGGTGGAGGACGAGGAGGATCGAGGAGCAGGAGGAGGAGGAGGAGGATTCCTTCACTCCCTCCCCCACCCCGTGGCTGGTAGGCCATGCTGGCCGCTGGGCGGGCCGCCTCCCATGGCTTGCCCAGGCAGCGCTCCGCGCGCGCGGCAGCCAGGCGCTGCTGGCGGCGTGGCGCGAGCTGCTGTCACGAAGCGCCCAGCCGTGGACCCCGGCGCGGGCGCAGGAGTCCCAGAGTCCCAGGGTCCCCCCCCCTCTCACCCCCAGGAGGGCCCAGGATCCAATCGGCAAGCCGGCTCTGCAAGCGAAACGGATCGGGGCGGCGGAGATCGGCAGCCGAGTCGGGAAAAGTCGAATCGGCGGAAATCGGCAGGCTAGTAGGCCTCGATTGAGAAATCGGAGCCCAAATCGGAATCCGAAATAGACTCGAATCGGAATCGGAAGCCGTCGAAATCGAATCGGATCGAATCGGAGGAAGCGAAATGAGCCCTCTCCCCCCCCCGGCTGTCCCCCCCATGGCTGGTTCCCCGCCTGCCTTCGCCAGTCCGCGCCCCGCCCCCCCCCCCTCCCAAAGCAGAGGGCGCTGGCGGGTGCCTGGCCTGAGCGCCCACGTCCCCGATGGCGTTGCAGTCGAGAGAGAGCCTGGCGGATCAAGTGAGCAAGCACCGTGGTCCGATCCCCGTCCCCACTGGCATTGGCACGGCCGTGGCCCCGCTGACAGATAAACCACGCCAGATGGGGACATGTGCTGCTCCATCTGGGCTTCGCCAGACATGTCCCCACTTGAAGGGGGGGGGGGGCTGGTGGCGCCGAGATGCCGTGGCCCAGTGAGGATGGGGAGGGGCCCCGAGACAGAGGTCGCCGCACTCGGGCTCGAGGGGCTCCCGCGACGCGAGGGCGAAGCTCATGGAAGCGGTTCTACTCCGAGGGCTGTGTTTGACAGGCAACAGAAAAAACAGGGGTTGTTCTCTCGTCTGTGCGGTTGGGTTTGACCTCGGGGCTGCGGCGTGGGCTCGCTCCGGGAGGTGGGACGACCAGCACGCTCGGCCGCCCTGGCGCGCGAGAGGGCTCCCACGAGCGGGCTCCGAACCCGGCGTGCCCCGACCGAGGGGGCCACATGCGGACCCTGCCCCTACCCCCCACGATCTCTGAAGGGGAGGGTGGGGTTCACTCCGTTCGGGAGCTCTCGAACGAAGTGAACCCCGCCCTCCCCCTCAGCGATCGTGGGGGGGGGACAGGGGCAGGGCTCGCATGTGGCCCCCGACCCACCGCCTGTGTGCCTGCGGGTGACGCTGCCCGAGCCCTGTTCTGCTTCTCGCTCCGGGGCAGCAAGCACGGAGGCCGTGGCGAGACGAAGCGCGGAGACCGGCCAGAGCCGGGCGGCGCGAGGCGAGTGGCGCAGGCAAGGCTCGGACAGCATCTCGCCCCATGGGCGGCGCGCTGCGCGTGGCCGAGCCCTGGGGCATCCAAGCAGGGCGGAGGGCCTTCCACTCTCCGGGGATCGTGGCTGCAGAGTCAGAGCCTGCGACGTGCACACTGCTCTCCAGGCCGCTCCAGGAGGTGACGAGGTCCGAAGCCCACTCCCACCGGTCATCGGTTCTCCGGAGTCCATGGGAGGCGGGGGTGGTGTTCGGATTCCGCCACGTGTTCGACGAGCTCCGAGGCCTGCCCCCGCCGCCCCTCGATGTGCCCGAAGCTTGGCGGCGAGCCAGAGGGGGAGGCCGAGAGGGGACGGGCACCATCAGAAGGCGGCGGGGCTTCTCAGAAGCCCTCGCGCCCTCTGAGAAGCCGCCTCTGTCGTATAAAAAGGCCGGAGGCCTTCCGAGCCTTCTCTGCTATGAATTACGTGTTCGCTTTCTGCTTCTGTGAACTAACTTGTTTCGTTGCCTTCCCCACTGGGGTCGCCGCCGAGAATCGTTGATCCGCGAGGGCGAGGCTCGGCTTTCGCCACCAATCCCTGGACCTGGACCCTGCCCCTGGACCCCTGGCGGCATGGATGGACCCATGGCTGGAAGTGGGGCCTCCTCCTCCTCCTTCTCCTCCTCCTCCTCCTCCGCCTCCTCCTGCTCCTCCTCCTCCACCGCCTCCTCCTCCTCCCCCTGCTTTTCCTCCTCCTCCTCCTCCTCCTCCTCCTCCTCCTCATCCGCCGACGATCCCTGGACCACTGGACCCCTGCCAGAGCCGCGGACTGCCCCACCCACAAAGCCGCAGGGGTGCGACGAGGGCACCTGGCGGCGCGCCCAGAGGGGGGGAGGGCCCAAGGGGCGAGCCCTCTCAGAGCTCAGGGAGGGAGGATGAGGAGGAGGAGGAGGCGGAGGAGGAGGAGGAGGAGAAGGAGGAGGAGGAGGAGGAGGAGGAGGAGAGGAGGAGGAGGAGGAGGATGGACGGATGAGGAGGACGAGGAGGAGAAGAGGAGGAGGAGGAGAGGGAGGGAGGAGGGAGGAGGAGGAGGAGGAGAGGAGGAGAGGAGGAGGAGGAGGAGGAGGAAGGAGGAGGAGGAGGAGGAGGAGATGGTGGAGAAAAGTGGGGGGGGGGGGGGTCGGGACTTGTCACGCGACCTGCGCGTCTAGAGACGAGGGGTGGGGGGTCGGGGCTGGTCATGCGAACTGCGCGTCGGAGACACGCCGAGGGGGAAAGGCAGAGGGGGCAGGCCCTCTCAGAAGGCTCTGGGTGGGAAGGCCCGCCCCCTCTCACTTCACCCCTTCGGCGCGCCTCCGACGCACAGCTCTCATGAGAAGGACGGCACCCTCCCCCATCTCTGACTCGTCCTCCTCCTCCTCCTCCTCCTCCTCCACCTCCTCCTCCTCCTCACCACCTGCTCCTCCCCTCCTCCTCCTCCTCCTCCTCCTCCTCCTCCTCCTCCTCCTCCTCGTGCTGGTCTCTGGTATAGTTGTCTCCCTCTTGCTCCTCCTCCTCCTCCTCCTCCTCCTTCTCCTCCTCATCGTCCTCCTCCTCCTCCTCCTCCTCCTCACCGAGCTCAGACTGGTGGCGGCCGTGCCGAGCGAGCTCTCCCCAGACTGTCCCCGCATCTTGCCGCGAGAGCCTCCGCAGGGAGGTGTTCCGCCCCAGCGCCACGGCGAGCGCGGATGCCCCAGCGTCCCCGATGCTGTTCTCCCTCAGGTTGACCTCCTGGCGGCCAGGAAGGCGTGCAGACTGATGGGAGCCTCCTCCTCCTTCTCCTCCTCCTCCTCCTCCTCCTCCGCTTCCTCCATCCCTTCTCCTCGAAAATAATTTCTCACTGTCGCACCCCGAGACAAGTGTTTAGGCCTGGCCGGGCGTTTCGCCTGAGACGTCCTCACCATGTATGACTTCGAGAATTCGCAACAGTTTCGCAGATGCAGGGCGGGTGGTTTTCACAATGTGGCTATCGCCTTAGCACCGCGCACATCGGGTGTCTGGGATCTGAGCCGGACCCCCCTGCCTGGCGCGCGGAACGCGCCAGCCTCCGGCGCCCCCATGGGAGGCCCAGCGCAGATCCAAGAAATCAGCGCGGAGCTCCGTAAAATAATGCCCATGCAGCCAGCTGTTCTTCTCGGTATTCGTATTGTTCTTATGATTAGTCATCGTGTTCTTCCCCTTATGATTCTTCATGCTGTGGTTTTTCGATGTGTTCTGCATATGTTGTTGCATTCCCAGGCTATCCGCGGCCGAGCCTATTAACGTGCACGCCGACTCCTCCTCTCTGCTTGGGCAGGCACGGGGACAGGCGGGACAGTGACGCGACCCGTGCGCCCGCGGGAACAGAGGCATTCTGTTCTGGTGCGGCACGGGGGGGGGAGCGGTCGAGAGTGTATATCGAGGGCAAGAAATCCACCCCCATAATAACCACCCCGGCACGCGAAGCCGTTTACCAAACGCCCCCACTGAAGGCATCGCACAGGGCAGCGCTGGATCGTACGCGCCCAAGGCCGCTTCACAAAACGCCAACTGTCCGGTCCGGGCGGTCTTTCCTCCCTCGAGCATAGGCTCAGGGGCGAGGCCAGACACTGCTGGACGATGACCTGTTGGAGGCCTGGAAATGGGCACCAACACCAAGACAGGGGGCCGCCTCCCCAGGGGAGAGATGATCCTAGATGTCGGTGCTGGTGATAATATTTCGGTCACCTTGGAAGCCAAAATATTACCACCATCACCGAGGTCGAGATCGCCATCCCTCGGTGGAAGCAAACCACCGATATTGGTGGTGGTGTCCACCTTCAGGCCTGCGGGCCCGGTGCTGCCGCCGGCGGCGCCGTGGCGCCCTGCCCAGACCCGCCGCCGCCCCCGAGGCGCGGAGAGGCGTGTCCGCCCGAGAGGCGGCCGGCGGCCTCGCGCCGCGCCGCGCCCCAGGGGCGAAGGAGGGGCAGGGCGGGGAGGGGCAGAGGGAGAGGCTGGGCGTGCCCTCCTAGAGGGGGATGCTGGACGAGGACTTTCAAAAAGAGCCACATCACACGATACTCCAAGCATGCTCAAAAGCAGTCAGGCCAAAAAAAAACATCGCCCCCAGACTTTTGCTCGACGACTTTGGAACGTCCCTCCTGCAGAGGGACACGCCCGGCTTGAGGCAGGGGAGAGGAGGAGGGAGGAGCTGGCACGAACAGAGCGGGGCCCGAGGGAATCGGGCTCTGGACCACGGGGTCTTCCCCCGGGGCCAGCTGCTCGTCCTGGGTCGCTCTCTGGCGGTCCATGTGCCCGTGGAGGACCCCGGGGAGCCAGAGGCGGCGAAAACCTCGGGGCCCGCGTCTCTTTCTGTCGAAGGACCCTCTTTTCGAAAGGAGGGGGGCGGTAGCTTGAAGCTGGGCCCCCCTTTTAGCATTGAGTTCCCCACGGGCGCGCTATTACGAAGGAAGGCAGCAGGAGTGCCCCCGTCTCTACCACAACCCAAGTTTCGCACAACTGACGCCCGCAGCTCTTACCGCACGCAGTCAGATCACATCCTTCTCGCGGCATGCCCTTCGGGTCTAGTAATGTGTACCATCTGTGGATCATGATCCTTGCCATCACCCACTCTGACCAGGTGCGCGCATACTCTGTACCATGGCGGGCCTTTACACTGCTCCATTAGCTCACCTGGCCCATGCCTGGCCTTTTCCTTCCTGCGCCCACCGAAGTATAACATGTAGGCCACCGAACGCTGTCCTTGCTGCGCCCACCGAAGTCTAATGTGTAGGCCACCACGCCCAAATCGATGACGCTTCCTGCACGTTCCATCCGAACGCTGCGAGCCTCAATGCTTCGAGTCTGACCAACGTCCGGGCATCCAGCAAGAGAGAAAACCTGGAAGGTGGCACAAAGGAAAGGGGGCCATGAGGAGGAGGAGGAAAAGGAGGAGAAGGAGGAGGAGGAGGAGGAGAGAGGAGTAGGAGGAGGAGGAGGAGGAGGAGGAGGTGGAGGAGGAGGAGGTGGAGGAGGGGGAGGGGGAGGAGGAGATGGAGGAGGAGGGAGGAGGAGGACGGGTCGCCTAAGCCCTTCGGAGAAACCCTCCAGGCCCTCCTCGCCCACAGCCAGTCTCCAGCAATCCCAGAAGGCCCGTTGAGGGCACCGGGAGGCCCCAAGACCGCGGACCGGCCCCCCTCCAGGAGCCAGCTGGTGCACATAGGGAGCCCACAGAGGACGTACGCGCCCAGCTATGTACATGAACACGGCCCCTCGATCCGCGAGACCTGCCGCGTTATGCGAACATCTGCGCTATGCGTACTCTCGAAACCAGCGTGGATTCATGTACGTGTACGTCCTTTTGTCGCTCCTGAGCACAGAGGAGGGCCCCAGAGGGCCCCTCCTCAGGGCCCTGTTCTTCACCCCCCGCTCGGGTCACCCCCCCCCCTGCTGCCCGCCCGACCCGCTCCCCCCAAGACCCCTTCGAGCCCGCCCGAGCCAGGGAGCTCGCGCGCGACGACGGCGAGGAAAACTTAAGACGACGACGACGACGACGACGACGACGACGACGACGAGGACGAGGACGAGGAGGAGGAGGAGGAGGACGACGACGACGAGGACGAGGACGACGACGACGACGACGACGACGACGACGACGACGACAACGACGGCGACGGCGACGGCGACGGCGACGGCGACGGCGGCCCGAGCTACAACGCCCGCGCGCGCGGCCGCCCACGCAGGCCCTCTCAGTGGGCCTCTTCCTCTGCCTCTCCGGAGGGCGCCGCAGTGGCCTCCCCCCCCTCGCGTCCCCCCCCCCTCGACAATTACACAATATGAATACTACTCTCCCACTTCCCCTGATGGCGTCCGGAAGATATTCGGCACCCCCCCGCGTACTGTTTTTTTACACACAGGATTCCCCGGAGTTGGGTTTTCGCTTGTGTTTTTTTCTAAAATGCTGCTCTCGCTGAGGCGCTGGCCTAATTTTCGGGCTCCCGCTCCTTCCGAATCGTGTTCCCGCTGCAGCGCTGGCCTCATTTCCGCGCTCCCGCTCGTTCCGAATCGTGCTCCCGCTGCAGCGCTGGCCCAATTTCTGCGCCTCTCGTTGTTCCAAAACGTGCTCCCGCTGCAGCGCCGACGTTTTCGATTCTTTTTAAGAAGCCCCAAATCTAGAAAATGATCCCCGGCAAAAACATTGGAGGTGATTACACATCCGGTGTCGATTCGTTGATTTTTGGGGCCGCAGAAAGCCCCCCCCCCCTTTTGGGCGGCGTCCCGTCTTCGTCGCCGGTCGTCCTCATCGTCGTCGTCGTCGTCGTCGCCGCCGTCGTCGTCGTCGTCGTGGTTGTCGTCGTCGTCGTCGTCTTCGTCGTCGTCGTCTTCGTTTTCATCGCGCCGTCGTCCTCCTCCTTTCCCTCTTAGGTAACAGGGTCAGATGCGAAGCCCGATTCGGTGAGAGGACAATGAAGTAGCTCAATGGGAAGGGATGGGAGGGAGGGGTAGGATGTCAGATATTGACGCGAGCGCACCTAGCTTGCCTCCCCCCCCTCGCCTCCCCCCCCCCCTCGCCTCCCCCCCCCCCCCCCCTCCCCCCCCCGCCTCCCCTCCCCCGCTCGTGGGGAGGCGCCGCACCGATGGAAGGGGCCCAGGGACACGACACACCAATAAAGAACCGCAAATCCCAGGATCCCCTGCACTTTCCCATGGTCTCTGGATTTTTCGTCTTCCTCCCCCCACTTCCCCTATTTTCTCACCTTTTCCTGGGGATCGCCGATTTCATTGTGTCTGCGTGTGTTTTCCCCTCCTGACCGATGCATCACCTCCTGGTCGTGCGCACCCTTCCCGACAGCCAAACGGAAGGAACGCCAGAGGGGAGGGGACGTGCTGAGGCGAACCAAAAGAAACATGAACAAAACTTTTGACGGTCTGCATGGGCTTCTTGTATCTGCACCAGACCCCCCTCCCTGGCGCGCGGAGCGCGCCAGGAGCGGCGCTGGCGGCGCCGCCAAGGGGTGGGCCGCGCAGGTCCAAGAAATCCGCGCGGACCGTGTCAAGGTTATGTTTACGCGGCTTCTTACTATAATCGTTAACATTAGTATGAGTTTGTATTGTCAGTGCTATCACTACTAATATTCTTAGTACTATTAGAACAGCACTGGCATTAGTATTATTAATTACCAGTACTATTAATATTCGTCGTCTGATTCTTCTTAATATGATAATGATTCGTCTTATTAGTTCATAATCCTTCTTATTATCATTATGCTTGTGCGCATTATTCTTCTTGAACGCATTGTTATTTCTACTATTCATATGGTGAGTAATCCGAATATTGTGTTATTATTATTATTATCATTATCATTATTATTATTGTTATTAGTATTGTGATTACTTGTATGATCAGTATTACTCCTCTTCTTCGTCCTGGAGTCCTGCACAACGGCCGCCCAGTCTCGACTGCCCTGCATGGCGAGCAGGGGACGCGCGGGCCACGGAACGGGGGGGGGAGGCCCGCGCGCGAGGCCCCCGGCGGAGGAGGGCGCTGGCTCCTCCAGCGTGCCGTTCACCTCGAGGGCGGAGGCGAGCGCCCTCGCGCCGGCGTCGCCGATCCTCGGGGCGCAACGACGACGACCCAGCAGGACGACGACGGCGAGGACGACGACGAGGACGACGACGAAGACGACGACGAAGACGACGACGAGGACGACGACGAGGACGACGACGAGGACGACGACGAGGACGACGACGACGACGACGACGAGGAGGACGACGACGACGAGGACGACTACGAGGACGACGACGAGGACGACGACGAAGACGACGACGAAGACGACGACGAGTACGACGACGGCGGCGGCGGCGGCAACGGCGGCAGCGGCGGCAGCGAAGACGACGACGCTGACACTCTGGAGCCCTTCTTGAGGCTCTCTTGGGGGCCTCCTCTGTTGGGGCTGGGGCTAGGGGCTGGGGCCGGGGCGGGGGCCGGGGCGTCGCCGACCCGGGGGTAAGGCCCAAGCGTACAATCAAAACTGGTAGTGAGGCTGCGCGATAAAGACACAAGCCCCTCGGGCGCCCGTGTCGAAGCCCGGTCGAGCGGGGCAGGCCATCGAAAGTGGTCAAAGATGGACCAAAGAGGCACGGATGCAGGGGCACCCTTGGGAAAGTAACCCCTCCTTACCATCGGTTTCGACTGTACCCCCAGTGAGGTGTCGCAACGGCCACGGTTGCAGTCACGGTGGGCGCCAAAACGCAGCCGCTGAGCGTCTCGAATTGGGCCCCGAGGGCCCCTCTCTAGGGCACGTATGTTCTACGGTACCCGTCGGTCGGAAGAAGGAAGTAGAACCATGAAATAAGCAGGCGTTGGAAGCAGATTTGGCCTCCGCCCGCACCGTCAGAGGAGGGAAGAGGGACAGCCGCTCGGCCGATTGGGATCCAGGAAACCAATCCAGACATACCTACTCTTAGATCGGGCTCGTCCCGCTACAGGCAGATTTTGGACGAAAAATAACAAATACCCCAGAAAGTTATCCAAAAAAACAACAACTACAAAAAACAAAAAAACAAAAAAAAAAAAAAAAAAAAAAAAAAAAAAAAAAAAAAAAAAAATCCAAACGATCGTCCTGGAAGATTCCTCCTGTAAAGGGACATGCCCGACTTAAGCCTACTTCGATCGACAGGCGGATGCCTGGCCTCCCCCGAAAAGCCTAGATGGGGCGCGCGAAACGTCTGTTTCTGCCCCCCCCCCCCCCCTGAACGCGCACGGCACCAAAGAGGGAGAAGAGAGAAAGAATCCGACGGTCGGCTGAATAAGCCCGAGGGGGGGCCATCGGAGAGGGCCTCTCTGTCACCCTGACAGGAAGGCCAAGGACGCGTCAGGGGCCAGCGACGGGCCCCCCCTGGGCAAAAAGGCGAGCCGTCTTCGAATTGGACATCATTGCAGTTGCGCTTTTCTCGGAGCTCGACCCCGAGATCTCGGGCCCCCGCCCCATTCAAGCCGAAAGCCTGCAAACAATCAGTCGAGCAGAGGGGATCGGGAATCACACTGGACACCCCCGCGCTTCGCTGGCCTTGTCGCTGGACCCCTGGGCCGCCGCTCAACACTCCAAACACCTCCCGAGCCCGCTCCCCAGGCGACCCCCAGGGGCCTAGCTTGAAGGCGCGATTGGGGTGCTTAGAACGGAGCACGGCCCGAGTGTTCTTGCGGACAGGGTCGAGCAAACTCGCGTGGGCCCCAGGACAGACATACTCAAGACCTCTAGCTCCACCCGAGACCGTCGCGCAACCCCCGCAGGTGGACCAAAAAAAGCATGGGGTCGAGCTCTTGGCCGAGCACGGGGAACTCCAGAAGCTGGTGGCCCCCCTGGGTCCAGGTGGCCTGGCGGGCGTCACTGGCCAGGCTGACCAGCTCGGGGCCCACGGGCACCGCGGGCAGGTCCTGGGAGGGGCCCTCGGGGGCAGGAGGGGGAGCAGCAGCAGCAGCAGCAGCAGCAGCAGCAGACCCCCCATCCGCCACCTCCCTCCGCCGAAGCTCCCCCAGGCCTCCCCCAAGCCTTCGCCGCCCTCAAGCGAAATGAGGGTGAGCCCCTGGGCGCCCACATTATCGTAAAGGCCAAGGTCAGAGCAATGCACCTCGGCTCGGGTTATGAACGTGATGAGCTGACGGGCCAGATACAGCATTCTTTCGCGAATGGCATATCTCGCGGGCCGTGCCTGCCGAGATCTGCACCCCGCTTGGCCAGGCGGTCGGCGGCATCGCCGCCCGTTTTCTCGAAGTGGCTGATCCTGCCCCCCCGAACGTCTCCCATGCTCGAGCGGGCCATGACCATGCAGGAATCGACGAGGGAGAAATCGTGTCCGTCGCGCAACCCATTCCACAGGCGCACGCAAGTGCCAGCTGGACTCTCGGCCCAGCTGCGCTGTTGCAGCAAGCAAGCGCGCCTTTACAATCTGAGTAGAACGCGAAAGTGCCGACCAAAAACTGGCGGGCATGAAAACTGCAAAATCTTCACCATCGCGGGCGACTTGGTCTGGATGCGCGGCCGGCGGGACAGCCCCATACCAGCCTGCGATCCAGCGGCGCCCGCCGTCATAAATGCCCACACACACACACACACACAGCCTGCAGAGCGCAAAGCGGGGAACTTCCCATCGCGAGCCGAGCCGCCACAAAAAAACGCAAGCATCCTCCACCACAAGGCCAGCGCTAACACCTTCAGCCTTGGACTCCCACGCCGGGCCCCAGGGCCCCCGCGCGGGGAGCTGACAGGGGCCAGGGGGGGATGCCGCGAGCGAAACGCCCATGCAGATCGACCGAGCAGCGGGAGAGTCGAACCACTGAGGCCTGGAGCTCAGGCGGGAGATTATCTCGGCGCCAAGCTGCACGGGCAGGGCACTCAAAGTGCCAGTGAAGAAAAAGGTGCCACGGGCACCGCGAGGCAGTCTGCCTCCAGCAGAGGGTCGCGATGATGCAGCATGTGCCGGCGCCAGTGCGAGCCCATGACGAAGGCCTCTCAAGGTCCTCTGCTCCCGCAGCCCCCAAGCCCCGCCAGTGCCCGACCCCACCCCGCCATCGTCTACTAGCACCTCCCAGTGCAGCCTCTCATTGAGGGGCCGCCGAAAAAATCGCCGATCCGACCTCTGCATTGTCCAATTTTGCCGAGGCCACGGTGGCCCGACAGGAGCCCAGCGGCAAAGCGGGCACGGCGAGCCACGAACGCGGGCGAGACAGGAGCCAGGGGCCAAACGTCACCCGAGGCTTCGTGCAAGGTCCAGGGGTCAGCAAATTTCATCCCTACTCTGGCAGCAGCGAGGATCGGAGCTGCAACGCGGCCCTCGACTTGCGACCAAGGGCGGGCGTTCGTCGCTGCGGCCTGCCCTCGGATTAAAAGAAAAGCGCAGCACAGCGGGGGAAAGGCGTCCATCTCTGAGAATCTGCAAATATGTTTTTCAGGCATCAGCGGTGACCAAGACCAAAGGGTCTCGGGCCCAGCCGCCACGTGAGCACATGGGCGCGAGTTCCAGACAACAGCCTCGAGGAAGGCGCCCGTCGGCGCGCAACGCGGCCACCCTAAGTTGTTCAAGTTTGCCGTCGGGGAGCCCTTGGACGCCGGCCCCCCAAAGAACCTGGGCCGACCCCCCCGCCCGGAGGAGAGAGAGAGAGAGAGAGAGAGAGAGAGAGAGAGGGAACATATATATATATATATATATATATATATATATACATATCCCAGCGCGACCCTACCTAGGAGTTGGAACCCCTAGGAAAGCAGCATTAGTAGTAACAGTAACGCTAAAGCTAAAGCTAAGCTAGAGCTAAGCTAAAGCTAAGCCACAGCTAAGCTAAAGTTAAGCTAAAGCTAAGCTAAAGCTAAGCTAAAGCTAAGCTAAAGCTAAGCAGCAGTTAAGCTAAAGCTAAGCTACAGCCAAGCTAAAGCAAAGCTAAAGCTAAGCTAAAGCTAAGCTACAGCTAAGCTCAAGCTAAGCTAAAGCTAAGCTAAAGCTAAGCTACAGCTAAGCTCAAGCTAAGCTCAAGCTAAGCTCAAGCTAAGCTACAGCGAAGCTAGAGCTAAGCTAAACGCTAAGCGAAACGCTCAGCGAAACGCTAAGCTAAAACTAAGCTACAGCTTAGCTAAAGCTAAGCTAAAGCCAAGCTCAAGCTAAAGCTAAAGCTAAAGCTAAAGCTCCCAGGGGACTGGGGGGGGCCGCTCCCAGGGGACTGGGGGAACCGCCCGGGGCGCTTTCCACTGCCCGGCCCCTTTAAGCTAGAGAGCAAGAACCCTTCTAGGCAGAGCCCAGGTAGGGAACAAAAAAAACACGCTGGGGCTCCAGCGTTACGAAGGGCCACGAGTTGTCCGACCTTGGCTTGGGCGGCGCGAAAACGATCGTGGTGAGCACTGACTCGCCTGCGGCGGCCGTCGGTCGCGCCCCCTCCGAGGTCTCGGTGGACCTGGGCACGCACCGACGCGGGGAGGCCACAGTCGCGGAGGACCCCGTCCGCCACCTCCCCCGAGGAGGAGAGGAGGCCGAGCTTGTCACGAGCAATTGGCAGCCCTGTGCTTTTGAGGTCAGCCGTCACCGCGCGAAAAGCTTGCCATAAGCTCCTTGCGAACCACCTCTTTACCTCCGACTGCATGCAGCGAAACGTCGTCGATGACAGTTGCTCATCCAGGCGATTGGGCCGGCCGTCGCCGCGCGCCGCAGACAAGCCAAGAGAAGCAAGCGCGACGGCGCCGCGGCCCCAGAGAACCCCGCCACCACCGCGCCGTTGGGCACGAGGACTCGGCTGACAGCGCCTTGCCAAGAGACTCTGCGCGGCGCTCTATACATCGAACAGGAAGCCCTCAACGGGGCTTCCGGCGTCTCGCAGCTCTTGGCGCGGGGTGCGTTCATAGAACTTGCGCAGATCTATAAAGAGCGCGCTGGGTGCCCAGCCAGGCTGGGCACGGGCATGAGCCGCAAGCGCGGTGAATCCAAACGCTTTTATCACAGGCTGCGCCGGTGCTCATCCCCCAAAAGAAACGCCCATCAACGCGACGCTGCCATTCTGAGCACAGCCCGCGCCCCATGCTGCCCCAAACCCTTGCCCAGTAGGGAAGCGGCCCGATCGGACGGCTTGTCGAGGAAAACTATCAACGCTAGCCACATCGGCCCGACTTCGGGGCGCTTTTCCCACGCCAAGAGGACGGCCGCGAAGGCTTCAACCAGCGGCCGAGGGAGCTGCCACAAAAGCCGCGGGCTGAGAGAGCCCCAGCCCAACGCCGTGGTCAGGCTGCCGCCGCTTCAAGCACTTGCTATGCTGTGATTGGTTCGAGCGTCTCCTCCACTGGCCAGTCTAGAGGACGCTGCCCCCCCATCGCGCGCTTCGCTGGTCCAAGACGGGGATCCACTCCTTCGAAGTCTGCTCTAGAGCGGCTTGGCCTACTAGTCTCACGGTCTTCTTCTGCAAAAACTGGCAGGGGCGGAGGGCGGGGCCTTTGCTATGCCTGCGAGCGACGCGACCCCCCCCCCCCCCCCACGACCGACGATTTCGCCCACGACTGCTACTTCTGTCGATAATCTGCCGCCTCCTGCTTCACCCTGCTGATGACCTCGGCTTGGACCGCGTCTGCTCGCGGCCCTCGAGTCGCGCCGTCAGCCAGCTGCTTGAAAAAGTCGGGCACGGTGAGTCCTCGCAGCTTCTCCTGGCCCGCCTCGGCGAACAAGCTGGCAAGCGGCGTGGCTAGGTTGACCAGCTGAGCCTGAGTCTCAGGCCGCGTAGCTGTCAAAAACTGGAGCGACCGGCGGCGCAACGAGAGCCACTTCTGAGTGGGCAGATTCGATCGCTGCTAGAGCTCTTGGCCACAAGCGGCTCGCAGCGGCACGAGCTGGATCTGACATCTTTTGTGTCTGCCCAGGTACTTGGAATCAGTCAAACCGTGGATCTCAGACAGGGCCCCTTCCGCGGAGGTGAACCAACTGGACGCGGCATCCAGAGGGTCCAGGCCCGAAAAGTCGGGGCCTTCCCAGGATCCGAAGACAAAAAAAAATGCCGTCGCTCCTCCTCATCCATGGGCAGGGGGAAGCGTTTGGGCACGCTGCGATTCCAAACCTTAGACTGACCGGCCAGCGCGCGGAGGCGAAGGGCCACCGCCGAGCGCGGCCCTACTGGTGCGTCGGCCACCGCGGAGCACTCGTCGACGCGATAGTCCAGGCTCCCGCTGATGACGAAAAAGTCGTAGCAGCTGTCGTGACAGGTCGCGCGTGCTGGCCGAAGGATGCTGGCCCCAATATGCCCAGTCCACTGAGACTGCCTGAGCTCCTCCGCGTCAATGTTCCAGTCTCCTCCGATCATGAACGGGATGCTGGCCTCGGCGACCACCGCACTGACCTGTTCCACAAAAACGAAAATGGCGCCGCTGAACCCGAGCGTGGTATGGCCGTCGACCGAGACCAGCAACACCTCTACGTCATACGTCAGAGCCACTCGGCAGGCCGTCACGCGCTCGCTGAGGTACCGATGCTGGTAGTCCGCAACGCCAAAGTGACTGCGCACGAGTACCGCCGTGCCAGCTGACGATTCCCTGTCCGTCGGCCCAGTGCTGGCCGCGGGCTGAAAAGCAGAGGCGTACCCCGCCTGATGGGCCCAGGCCCTGGGGGGCCCTGAACCTGATGCGGGAGCAGGCGGTGCTCCTGGAATAGAACTGCATCATAAACTGTGGCTTTGACCAGTTTCGACCATTCCAAAAACTTGAGACCAGTCGACCAAGCATTAGAATTGTAAGTGGCCACAACGAATTGTGAGAGCGCCTTGCTGTTTCCCACGGGCGGCGGCGGCCAGCCGCGAGCAGCTTGGGGGGGGTCGCTCTCGTCAGCGGACGCGGCCACCCGCGCATCCGCGGCACTGACGAGCGGCTGGACTCGACCAAAGGGGTCGCCCACCCGCATGTCTGCGGCAGTGGTCAAGAGCCCGCTACCTCCACCTCCTTTGAGGGTTTGCCGCTGTGGCTCCCAAAGGACGCCACGGCGCCCCAACAACGGCGGCCGCCACCTCGCCCCATTTAGGGTCTGCCCCTCGGGCTTCCCAAGGACACCGTGGTGCCCCACTGCCGTCCTCCTGCGCCTTTCCAGCTATGCTCGAAAAAAGGCCAGCAGGTTGTCGAGCTCCTGCCAATGGTGCTGCGCAAAAACGTTTCAGAGGTCAGCAGTCAGAGCGTGCATCATTCGGAAGAAGCGTTATCTGAGTGGCCGCCCTCTTGACCAAGCAGCTACACAAATGTCTGAAATGGTTTCCGTCAAAGTGTCCCGTCTGTAGTGCGCAAGAATTGCCCGACGCAGAGCCGCCGCATCCTGTTCCTGCAAAAAAGAAGCCACGTATCGTTCACACCAGTCTTGCCACGAAAGAGAGTCATCTGCCACTTCGCCTCTCAAATCCCAGACCCATCTGGCTCTCCAGACCTGCATGGATTCTCCAAAAACTCCTGCCGATTCCTGTCGGGATCTCTGGCGGAGATGGCGTGCTCGGGCGGCAGGCCCGTGTGCCCCAAGAACAGGGTCACACGGGGGCGTGCCCCGAAGACAAGTCACACTGGTCACGGGGTACCCCGTGACCCCATCAAAGAGGAGGAGGAGGAGGAGGAGGAGGAGGAGGAGGAGGGAGAGGGGGAGGGGGAGGGAGAGGAGATGGAGGAGGAGATGGAGGAGGAGGAGGAGGAGGAGGAGGAGGAGGAGGAGGAGGAGGAGGACGGGTCGCCTAAGCCCTTGGGAGAAACCCTCCAGGCAGGGGGAGGGGGGAAGGCTTCTTGGGAGGCCGATTCTTAGAAGGCGTAGGCCTTTACATCCATAGACAAGGCCCGCGCCTTCTGGGAAGCAGGGTGCTTCTCGAGAGCCTCCCCCCTCCCCCTGGCCCCTCTGCGTGGCTGATCCTCTGCGGCCGCCCTCCTCTCTTCCAATCGTGACTCGCGCCCCGCGCCCGGCACCGGCCCTCGCACCTGCGTTCGCAGGAGCTGCCGATATCGTGCGACACGAAAAACGACAAAAAAAGGGGCCGTCTAAGGCGAAGCGCGTCTTCCTCGAGCAAGCCCCAGACATGAGGCGCAGGGATCCTCATCAAAAATCGCGGGCGGAGGCGATCGCCCTCGCGCCAGCGTCACTGACCCCCAGGGAGGGGGACTGGCGCTGGGGTCCGGCAGGGCGCCCCGGTCTCGCGGTCTTACGGCTCAGAGGCTGTTTTGTACACATACTTTCAGCAACGACCATTACCTGTACGGTTTCCCCTGGGTCTTAGGCGACCCGACGAGGAGGAGGAGGAGGAGGAGGAGGAGGAGGAAGGAGATGGAGGTGGAGAAGGGGGAGGGGAGGGGGAGGGGGAGGGGGAGGAGGAGGAGGAGGAGGAGGAGGAGGAGGAGGAGGAGGAGGAGGAGGAGGAGGAGGAGGGGTCCCCTAAGCCCTTTGGAAAAACCCTCCACCATTACCCGCGGCGGGAGGGGGTCGGGGGGGGCCGTGTCACGAAACGCTTGGGAGGGGGCGGGGGTGCTCTGCGATCGCCGTCGGGGCGGGGGTGCTCTGCGATCGCCGTAGTATACGCACGAGCACCAGCTTGCAGGAGAGAGTCCAGGCTCCCTCCCCCCGGGCACAATCGTTACCGTTACCTGGGGAGGGGGGAGAGGGGAATGTCCTGGGTAGCGACCCTTTACGCGCCACAGGATTTGATAACAAAACACGGCAACTCCCCTCTCTCTCTCTCTCTCTCTCTACAAGCGTTGAAAAGTTCAGGCGCATCCCCTCCTCCTTTCCGCGCACGCCGCGAGGATAACAACTGCCAGTTCCTCCCCGCACTGAGGGACAGGGGACCCACTCCACCACGCGATGCACAGGCCGTGGAGGAGAAGCGCGAGAGGGCGAGAGAGGAAACACCAGGACGGCAGGCGGCGCAGGAGCTCCCCTCCTGTTCTTGCCCAGGTCGAGCTGCTGCACCGCGCCGTTGCTCCGCAGGGCGGTGGCCACGGCCGCCGCGCCCGCGTCCCCGACGCGGTTGCAGCCCAGGCCGAGCCTCGGCGGGGCCCGCGGGCGCGCTGGGCTCGGAGACCGCTGCGCAGACCGCCGGGCCGCCCCCGGCTAACCGCCTGCGGCCGCCGAGGACCGCCTCTGGCAGCTGCGGGCCGCCGAGGGCCGCCGAGGGCCGATGGTGGCCGGCGGTGGCCGGCGGGGCTCTTCGGCCGCAGGAGGCCTCCTCCTCCTCCTCCTCCTCCTCCTCCTCCTCCTCCTCCTCCTCCTCCTCCTCCTCCTCCTTCTCCTCCTGCTCCCACGAGGACTGAGCACTTCGGCCGCAGGAGGGCCCTCGGAGGCTTCGGAGCCCTCGCCGCGCGGCGCAGGGGGACGGAGGCCAAGTCGGAGCGGGACGTCGTCCCCGGAGGCCTTGCGAGGGCATGCCGGGAAGCAGATCCTCGCAGGAGGTCTTACGCGGGGGCTTCTCTCGGCCCTGCTCCTCGGGCAGCCCAGGGGGGCGGAAGAGCCCGGGGAGGGCGGCACCCGGCTCCGCTGCGGCATCGCCTGCGCAGGCTTGCGCAGGAGGATTCCCGTTGCAGTCCTGTGAAGTGGCCCAGGGGTATACAAATGAACAAGAATCCCAGAATCCACCATGTGTTCCTAACTGTCTGAACTTTCGTCCTCCCCCCGACTTCCCATATGTTCGCACATCTTCCTGGGGATCGACAATGAATTGCGTCTGTGCGTTCTTCCCCTCCTGATCCTACTAAGGACCTGTCCGCCAGCGCTGCACCCCGGTGCAGAAGATGGCAGCGTGCCCCAGGCCCATCCAAGCAAGTTTCGCCCAGTGGCCCCCAGCCACTGCCACCCGCACCCTGCCAGACCATGTCTCGGCCTTCCTTACCTGACCCCGATGTACATTGCATATGTTTATATCTATATATGTATATGCATACATATATGCACAAACATACATACATACATACGTACATACATACATACATGCATGCATGCATGCATGAATGCATGCATGCATGCATGCATGCATACATACATACATACATACATACATACATACATACATACAACCATACAAACCTACAAATATACATACATTCATACATACATACATACATACATACATACATACATACATACATACATACATACATATATGCATATATGTGTATATATATATATGTATGCCCCCGCGCCGTATCCCCGCACGCTCCTTTCCCATAGTGCGCGTCGCGAGCCCCTCCTTGGTCAACTAGCACTTCTTCTCAATACTTTCAACTGCAGCATCCCTTTCCGTGACATAGTTCTGAGCACACACAAACACCACCCGAACGCGTTTGCTCTGAAAGCTAGCGCCACCTGACCATGTGTTCTCTCACATGCCTGTGTCATATCACAAGATCGCACGTTCATACATATTTCGCTTAAAAACGCGAGATGTTATTACGTTTCCTTGTTTATGCGAGTCGAACCCAGCTTACCGTACCGTGCCGTACCTCATACCTCATATTCACCCATAATTAATAATCCCACACCAACGACCTGATAGCAAGAATCGGCAGATATCACCCGACCTAGCCAGCCAGTTGCTGACGCGTTTGGTGTTTGCGCGGGCCTACTGGCCCGGTCTCTCCCATCAACACTACGATTCGGCGCAGCAACAACAACAATCATTTTGAGACCGTTCGCTCTTACTGGCACGCGTTCTGTCTACCCCAACCCTCGATACCCCCCCACTTCGTCTCCGATTGCAACCCTTTTCGGGGTGGATATCTTCCTGTCGGCCACTGACTGAATTGCGAACTCTCGAGCGAGAGCGCCGTTCCTGAGGTCGGGGGCCTGTCTGGCCAAGCCAGGAGCTCTCAGAATACAGATTGAGAAACATCGGACGGAAACCCTTGTCGCCGTGTCTGGGCCTCCACCAAATTGCCACAATTACGAAAAAAAACTCGAGCGAGAGCGCCACTCTTGATTTCGGGGGCCTTTCTGACGAGGGGCTCTGCGAATACATATTGAGGAGATATCGACCGAGAGCCCTTGTCGTCGTAGTTGGGCGTCCACCAATTTGACTGAATTCCGAGAAAATCTCGAGCGAGAGCGCCGTTCCAGGGTTCGGGGGCCTCTCTGGCCAGTGGCTCCCGCAGTAAATCGGGAGGAAGGAAATATCAAGCAGGAGCCCTTGTCGTCGTGGCTGGGCCTCCGCCAACTTGATTGAATTGCAAAGAAGTCTCGAGCGAGAGCGCCGTTCCTGAATTTTGGGGCCTGTCTGGCCAGGGTGTCTCGGGGTAAATTGTGAGGACAATATCGAACGGAAGCCGTTGTCGTCGTAGCCGGGCCTCCAAGGGCTCACTTCTTCACTCAAACCAACGCTCGAGCAGAACCCTCGCTCTCTGAGGAAATGTAGCCGGCGTCGAGGCGAGAGCGCGCGGAACCGATTTTGGGGATCAACAATAGATGTTCTCTAGAAGTGAGAATTCAACAACAACAACAACAACAACAACAGCAACAACAACAACAACAACAACACCACAACAACCACAACAACCACAACAACAACAACAACAATAACAACAACAACAACAACAACAACAACAACAACAACAACAACAACAACAACAACAATCATCATCAGACTGTTCGTTTTTATTGGCACGCGTGTCTTGCATTCTGTATACCCCAACCCTCGATACCCGCCCACTTCGTCTTCGATTGCAACCCCTTTCGGGGTGGATATCTTCCTTGCCGGCCACTGACTGAAGTGCGAGGAACTCTCGAGCGAGAGCGCCGTTCAGGGGCTCTCGGAATACCGATGGAGAAATATCAAGTGGGAACCCTTGTCGCCGAGTCTGGGCTTCGACAAACTTGCCTGAGTTACAAGAAAGTATCGGGCAAGAGCGCCGTTCCGGAGTTCGGGGTCGAGGGCCTCCCTGGCCAGGGGCTCTCGGTGAGAAGTATCATGCAAGAACCCCTGTCGTCGTGGCTGGGCCTCCGCCAACTTGATTGAATTGCGAAGAAGTGTCGAACGTGAGCGCCGTTCCTGAGTTCGGGGGCCTCTCTGGCCAGAGTGTTTCGGGGTAAATTGTGAGGAAATCGAACGGGAACCGTTGTCGTCGAAGCCTGGCCTCCACGGGCCCACATTTACTCAAGCCACCGTTCGAGCTGAAGCCCGGTTCTCAGTGAAAATGTAGCCGGCGTCGAGGAAGGAGCGCGCGCAACACTTTCCGAATATCAACCATAATTATTCTCTTGAAACGAATATGCAATAAAAACAACAACGACAACAACAATAACAACAACCATGTTAAGCCTGTTCGCTGTTATCTGATCGCGTGTCATTCAATATGCATTTCCCAAACCCTGGACGCCCGCCCTCTTCGTTTTCGATCGCACCCCCTTTGGGGGGTAGATTCAATCCCTGCCACGCGTGTTCGGTGAAGCCCTTGAAAACGAAGGTAACAGATAACAGGGGAGAATGAGGACGAAGGGATCGGAGGAAGGGAGGGGGGGCAAGAAGGAAGGTGGACGACGATTTGCGCTGCGAGTGGCGATTCAGCTTGCGCCGTGGCTTGCGCCAGCCACTCCAACACTGGTTAACAATGAGTTTCGCCATGGGTCGCGCCATAAACAGCGCCACGCACCACCCCCTTGAAAGAACATATCGTGGATACCCCCGCGGGACGACGCACAGCTGCGAACTGGCGTCAGAGAAGCGGGATGGTGGGAGAGCGGGGCGGAATAATAATGGGCACTGCAACCGCGTCGAAAGGAGCGCGGGGATGTGGAGTGGATTGGGATGGAGTGGACAAGAGTAGGGTCTCAGGAGGAGGAGCGGCAAGGAGTGGAGAAGAGGAGCCGGGAGGGATGCGGAGGAGCGGGGGGCGCACGGAAGAATCTGGAGGAGGGACTGGGAATAATTTCGGAGAAATGCGGAATGCGAGCGGCAAGGGGTGGAGATTGTTGGCGTGGGATGGGGCGGCCTGGGGAGGAGCGGGCGGAATGCGAACAACTGAGGAATAGCGCAATGGAGTACGAACGGCGTGAAAATGAAGATGAAGGGAAAGAGTACAGAAGACTTGGAAAGAACGTTAAAAAGTGGGGGCAGGTGGATACGAGCGGAGACTGGGTGCGGAAACAAGGCGCGGGGGGATTGGAAGGCACCCGAAAGCCCCCTATGACCCCTGGGGGGCCTCGGAATGGCCCCGATGACCACCGAGCAATTCCAGAGGCTCCGAAAACCTGCGGGAACGCAGGCGGGCGCCGTTGATGGCGCGGGCCACGACGGGCGCGACAGAGCGGGGGCCCCGAAGGGCATACGCATAGGGGGCCGCAGAGGGCAGCGACGGAGCCGCTGAGGGCAGAAACGGGGCCACGAAGGGCGCAGAGGGGCCACGAAGAGCGACAGCGGGGCCAGGAAGGGCATGCATATGGGGCCACGACGGGCGCGAACGAGCGGGGGCCACGAAGGGCATACATATATGGGGCCAGAAAGGGCGACAGCGGGGCCACTGAGCGCAGGAAGTGGGCCACGAAGGGCACCGAGGACGAAACGCATGCGTACGGGACCCCGAAGGCCGCGAGCGAGCGGGGGCCACGAAGGGCAATTAATCCGGCGCCACACAGGGCAGCGACGGGGCCGCTGAGGGCAGAAACGGGGCCACGAAGGGCAGAGAGGGGGCCACGAAGGGCGACAGCGGGGCCACGAAAGGAGCTTATGGGGCCACGACGGGCGCGAACGAGCGGGGGCCACGAAGGGCATTCGTATATGGGGCCACAAAGTGCGACAGTGGTGCCACTGACGGGAGCAGAAGGGCAACGAAGGCCAGCGAGAGGGCCACGAAGGGCGACAGCGGGGCTACGAAGGGCACGCGTACGGGGCCACGACGGGCCACAGCGAGCGGGGGCCACGAAGGGCATATAATGCGGGGCCACAATGGGCAGCGACGGGGCCACTGAGGGCAGCAACGGGGCCACGAAGGGCAGCGAGCGAAGGCGACCGCGGAACCAGCACCGGCAGCGAGGGGCATCGAAGGCGGGCGAAGGGCAGCG